ATGACCATCATCGTTGAGGTGTTCGGGGAGTTCGGGCTAACGGTGTCGGAGAAGAAGACGGAGACGCTCCTAATGCGCGCAAAGGACAAGCTGACTACAACATCACAGCCCGCCCCGCCTCCACCACTGACCATCGAAGCCGCGGGACAGAAATACGCCCAGACGACCGAGTTCCGGTACCTCGGTGGCCTCGTCAACGAACATGGCGACCTCACCCGGGAGATCAACTACAGGAGCAGAGGAGCGTGGGCGTGCCTCAGGCGATATGGCCGGGAGCTCTTCGACAGACCGCAAGCGCCATTCCGACTCAAGATCCGCCTGCTCCAGGCGGAGGCGATGGAGGCACTGCTGTACGGTTGCATGACATGGTCACCACTCAGCGGCCACTATCAGACGCTGCGGTCGATACACCACCGACTGCTCCTTCGAGTCATCGGGTACAAGCGCAAGAAAGACACCTGCCGGCAGCTCTCTTACGCCCAGACGCTGAAGAGGGTCGAATGTCAGAGCGTTGAAGCAGAATTTGAGAGCAACAAACGTTGCCAAGAGGATTCTGTTTTGGCATAGCACATAGCTTCGTCGGCAACGACTACCTGTGAGGTTGTAAGCCATGCCTCCCTCTGCGACACTTTGGGTATTATGCTTGTCGCCGGTCCGTTGTGCAGGCCTGGGCTTTGACTTTTTTGGGGTTATTGTGGCGCCGGTCACCACCGTTGCTTCGACTCCGTTTTTTTAGGTCTATCCTAGGCAATAGGCAGGGTTTCGATAGGAGGGCGCTGATAGAAACAGGGGATAGGGTGACGTGCCATCGTTGCTGCACCAGCAACTTGGTGAGAAGGGGGACCAGGTTGTGCACAGGTTTGGTGGTGTCGGTATTTCGTAAATATTGAATACAATACGGTGCTTTCGTGCTGTCAGGGGCTGCCATCGCGTCGTCTCTCCCGGAGGCAAGATGGCATGAGCAGACGAACGACGGGGGAGGGGACGCTGCGCAGGACACATTTTGAATCACAAAACAAGTGGAAAGTTGAAAACGCACTTACATACGTGCTGCATTTTTGTTTTAAGCCCGTCCAAGTATTAGCACAATGGGCGCGCGTGAGGGGTAGACTAGACCATCACGCACAGACCACTTCATGTATCCGCACTTGCACTTCGTACGTGGTGACGGACGGAAAATTGCTTGGCGTGCATGCATGTTTTCGTGCGGTGCCGGACGGTGTGCACTCGACGTTTTCCCTGACAAAGGTGTGTTTCTGTGTAGTCGGTTATTCGTCGTGTTGTCGAACAAGCAATGCGCGGGACGATTACTACTCTGATGTAGCGTTCATGTATTGTGTTGCTTGCTAGATATGATCGGAATGTATGCGCTGGGTATTGCATGCCGTACTGTACATAGAGCAGTCGCCAGCGCCTGCATGTGCGCTTCGTTACCTGTGTACGTTTTAGTTGCCAGGGACGTGTGGGTTTGACGGCCCCCATTGGCTATTATCATCGATACCTACTTGTAGCGTAGCGCTCCTACGATCCTCGTTACGCCGTCTGTGTCGTCAACACGGCTATGACTTCTCGGCACTCCTGCCACTTCTGTGTCGCTCCTTCCCGCCACCCGGGGGGGGCGCACCGTTGCTGACGTTGCAGGTACCACGAGGGGCTTCCTGTTGGAGCAGGTAGCTGCTCGTTTTTTTCATGGTGTTGGTGTTGTTGTTGCTGCTGGCCCGGCCGTGGCTACGTCCGGCCTAGCCTCTTTTCCACCTTTGCCTCCAGTCGATTTGTCCTGCTGGACCGCGTCCCTTGCTACCACCGCCGCCCCCGCCGAAGCAGGTGGCGGCGTCGTGCGAGGCTGCACTTTCGGGCGAGGAGCAGCCCGGTTGGCGGAAGATGCAAGCGGCAGTGCCGCCGCCGCCGCCGGACGTTTGAGCTTGAGCTTTGACTTGGACGTCTTGCCCCTCCCCTGTTTATCCGGCCAGAAGACGTGGCAACAGGCTTGTGCCCTGTTAAGAGGCCGAGCGAAAGAAATATCCAACGTCAATGGGATTGTGTTGGCTACAAGATTTGTGTTGTTCGGGCGTCGATCCCTCACACTTTCATCACAGACCCACGCACCGCTAAGGAGGGAAGGAAAAGTGTCGGGAATCGGGATTCCGCTCGGCGCTTGCGGCCGCCCAGCTGACAACCCATGGATTTCTAAAGACCGAGCGGTAAACATGGAACAGCCCGCAAACTGGGTAAGGACTCACAGATACAGCCGGGTTGCGCGGCAGACACTTTTCCCCTACAAACTCAACATACCCTTCCCTCCCGCGTCTAATATAGGGCTTGACTGTCTGTGTAGCCACGGACTGGAACTTCCCCCTCGTAGAATGCTGTGAGCGCTCATGACAAATAAATGTCGTAAAGCCCGGAACGAACACATCACCTGCGTAGGAGCATCCCGCCGCCGGTATCCGGTCCCGCTCCTTTTCCCGGCGAAGGAAGGGGGTTCTGTAGTTCCACGAGTTCCAGCACGGCTGCGTTGGCAGCGCCGAACGCCTGCCAGCTCTTGACGAGAACCTCTTCCGCATCCCCGAGGAGCGTGACGCCGGAAGAAGAAGATTGTCCAGCTCGAAGGCTACTGCTGATGCCGCCACCGCTTCGTGTGGTAGGCTCCAGGTCGACCACCTGTACATCCGCACCACGTTGAATAATGTACAACGTTTTTTGAGGTGGTCAGTTGAGGTTCTGGGACACCAGAGGGAGGAATCCACCCCCCAACCCTAGGTTGAGTGAGAGCGGGGTGTGGCTACGCCGGATGTGCCGTTTCCTGCTTCCCCAGTCCTACTTTCACTGCTGTCTGCTCCTGTCCATACTCAGCAGGATTGCTGTTGGCCCGCAATAGGGCACTTTCACACTAAGCCTTCAGCGGCCCTTGCTGGGGCCTTGGAGGCATGAACACCACATGCGCTCGTTCCTGACTCGCGAACACAGCAGAAATTTCGGTATCTACCTGCAAATAGAGATTCCAGGCGCTCTCAAGAGCCAGCTTCTCGTCACCCCCCGGCTTCGCAGCGCTGCCCCCACCACTTGCCGTTGCCGTCGCCGCCGCCGCCGGCGTGGCGGCCGCAACTTCCTTGCTCTGTCCTACCGGCGCCGGCACCGCCCCCGTCATTGCTCTTGCCTGCGGTTGGGCGGCACCCGGATTGTCCACCGCCCGGAGGACTTCCGCCTCGGTACCGGTGAGTGACCCGGTCGTGGCGCTCATGTTTCCGCCGCCCGTGACAGCTGCGGCGCCCGCAGCCGCGGTGGCAGGGCTTGTCGATAGCGTCGGCGGTGGATTTGCGCCAGCATCCCTAGAGGGGGAAGAAGCAGCGGCGGCTGCAACGCCGTGCAGCCGCTTCTGCGCACGGCTGTCGATGTCGGACCTCAGGATAGCGAGGAGAGCCCTGTTGGAAGAAGCGGGTGGGGGTAGCACGGCCCAAGAGGCGGGGGTGGGCGGATGCTGGTAGCTTGTCTTGACGAAACTCGTCCTTAAGGATTGGAATCCGGATCATCAATTTCCGACACTGTTCTATTCTTGAAGTCAGGTGTCGAAAGAGACGAATTCGTTGACATGTGATGTGCGTTCTTGCGAACTGGTGGGACTAAACGAGCAACGCACAAAGTAGGGTGACAGTCGGGTCCTCACAACCAACTGGGCGGAATGGCGGCGTGACATGGAGCTGCTGCGACGGGAAGAAAAAACATGCTACCGGATAAACTACGCACAAAACGGAAAAGAGAACCGGTGAACCAGGCTAGATCTGAAACGATACAACAAAAATACGCGGCCACCGTGAACCAAGCGCTCACACGAACGAGAAAGAGACACGCGAAAGATAGACAGAAAAACGGCAACAAGAGAGTCAAAGACAGAGAGAGGCAGGAAATGGGGGTGAACGAGGCACGCTTACCGTAGGACTCGCCGTTGCACCCAAACCACCTCTTCGCGGGTTTCCCGGACACCTTTTGCCCGCCGCAGGAGCCCCTGGAGCGTCCCAGTGTTATTCGTGGCTTGCAAAAGCTCAACGTACAAGGCGTAGTACTGAAGTGCCATGTCACGCCCCAAGGAGGGTGGTCATCCAGACGGTACGATACGGCGGTGAGATTCGTGAGACTCTGGATTCTCAAACGATTAGTAAGCGATCAGATAGCTATCCAGACGGTACGAAGCTGGAAATCGTGAGAGGGAATTCAAATTATAGCGATCACGCAGCTATCCAGACGGTACGAATGCGGGAATCATGAGAGGGATTTTTCAACAAGGACGCGGTCAGACAACTCGGTACATTTTGCGTTCGGTCGTCGGTGAGGGATTCGATCAACGCGTGTTGGACGGAACAGGGGCAGGGCCGTTCGTGCAAACACGCCGTTGCCTAAGAGATCAAGGGCTTCAGTTTCAATTCAGGGCCTTCGAACCGCTGGAGGAAGAGGCAGACACGGTCCGGCCAATAGGGGTTGAAGTACGTCAGGCGAATCTTCAGGAAGCGACCACACCCCCTTCGGCCAACAGCCAATACTGTAGTATAATGTTCTCTCTTGTTCACGATTCAGTTTGCGGCCAACCGTTGGGGGTGTCAAAGCGGTGGAATTCGGGGCCAAAAAACGTCCCGTCCATTCGTCAAAATTTGCGGGGGGCACGCGGATTTGGTTCTTTTTTTTGGTTCTTGAGAATCCCGCTGTTAATGCTGACCGGTCGCCCCGGTGGTCTAGTGGGCAGCCGCGCAGCCTGAAAAGGGCCAGGTCATGGGTTCGAGTCCCGGCAGAGTGAGTTTTTTCTCGCGAAATAAATCCTGGTCTAGGATGAAAGCGACGCGCTACAACGCTCGTTTGTTAGTAAACCATAATCGACTTCGCAAGTCGCGAGGGAAGGGATTGGTGTACCCTTCTCGCGATAAAAATACCTCAGGCATGAACCGCAGGAGGGGGTCCAACCCCCCCCTCCCATGTGACCCCGGTTGGGTCGTCTAGCTAGTAGAAGTGGAGGATAGGGGCCAGAGGGGCAGACGACAGAGTCCAATGATGGGAGAAAAAAAAAAAAAATGAATAAACTATACATCATGTCAATTTGTTTGCGCAGGCAGCTCTGCGTCCAGACAGCAGCATGGCTCTTCATGCGCTACACACACCTGGACACAGGTCCAATAGACGTGACTGTAAGGTCGGTTTTCTCTTTAAGTTAAATGGCGGACGAACAACACCAAAAAACATGTTTTTGGGGGCTCTTTGCTCCACGCCCAAGGCGCCCAAGGCGCCCAAGGCGCCCAAGGCGACCTTTGCTCCTCTCGTGAAAGCTACCTTACAGCCCTCTACCTTGGGTTTACAGCTATACCGCACAACAAACCGCATCCGAATCGCATCAGCCAACCACGAGATCTACATGTCTGAAAACGGCCCCTCCAGTGGGGCTGCAGCGCCCACACCAGCAGACCCTCCCAAAAAAAAAATCGAGATCCGCGCCATTCGGCAGCAGGAGGCGCGCTGCGCGAAACCTGAATCAAAACAAAACTAAGTTTGAAGAGAAGACGGGGATGTCTGTGGCTGAGGCGTCAGCAGCAGACAACACCCGGCGCGCTATCGAGCGCGGCAGCATCACCGCCGCGCAGAAAGCGCTGCAAAGAACGAAGGAGCTGGCCGAAAGTATGAAAAGTGAGGAAGAGAGCAAAGCTGGTTGCAGTATGGCTCTGGAGTTTGCGCGCGAGAAAGACGAGGAGCTCAAGTCGGAGCGGGCACGGAGACAGCAGGCCGAGCAGGAGAAACAGCAGGCCGAGCAGGAGAAACAGCAGGCCGAGCAGGAGAAACAGCAGGCCGAGCAGGAGAAACAAGCCATTTGGCGAGAGAAGGAGTCGGCGGTGGCGGGACAGCGCCAGGCGGAAGAGAGAACCCGTTTAATAATCAGAGCACACACACGAGCGGCGCCCTCGCGCGTGTGCGCCAGAGGATCTTTTCGGGAAATTCCGACGGTCCCGTGCCATTTCATTTGTTGGTCGATTTTCCATCAGCAAGATCCGAGGACGCTTTTTTTATTTTTTTCCTATAGGAATTTTTCCGCTTTGACACCCCTAACTGTGAATCACGGACAGCCAGGAGGAAATACGAAGGTGCGAGCAAATGCACACTTGCAAGTCTCAAGTATGCAAAAAGCAAGATGAGGACCGGGCTCCTTCTGTAGAAGCCGTCGCTGAAGGGTCCTCAAGGTCGTTGAATTCAGCTTTGACCCGTTTCTGAGGGCAGGCAGGTTTCATTCCGTGAGATTCAGACGAGGAGAGGGGCCAAGAAGAGAGTGGATCGAGCTGGGCCTCACTGAGGGTCGGCATGCCCAAGACTCGCCTGTCCGCAAGCCGTGTTCCGACCTCCGAATGGTTGTCCGAATCTCTGAGGATGTATCTTACTGCACGCTTGGTGTGTGCATACGGAATCCATATACACGCTTCTCGTTTTATCTGTTACCCGCAACAGACACCGAGATAAACTTAAGCTCTACGGCGAAAATAGCTATCCCATCTGTCGTGTTCTGTCTCCTTCCTGTTACTACAGTCGACCCTCGGTTAAGGAAACATCTGGTTTCTTGCTAAAAAAAATGTCCTTCAGCGGCGGAAGTGTTCTTGAGGTTGATAATCCTCCTCATCCTGCACATTATGCGAGTCACCATCAAAGCAAGGTACGACTCTTTCGCCAAAATTAACGCACCTTTCTCTTGAGGGCTTGAAGCTTGCGCCTTCTCGAGCTCAGCAGAGCAAGCCCCGGCCCGACCACGCCGTCCGAAGCGCTCATCGCCAGAAGGAGCTGCTGGCGCTTCTCGAACAACGGTTTCAGCGTTTGGAGGGCTGCCTGGGGGCCGTACGCCCGGCCCCGTTGGCTGATGGAGTACGCACTCAAGGAAAGGAAGGGTAACACTAAGGGTGCGATTCATGAGCTGCGGCTGTTGTAAGCTGGTGCTGTATCTCTGGCTGTAGCGTTGGAAGCGGAGCTTGAGCAAGTCCCCTGCTCAGCGTTAGATGCTAACAGGCACAAACAAATGGGAAGAATACACGACGACCCCCTTGCTGTTGGGCCTCTCGGCGGCTTGAGCGAGTGATGCAGACACCGCGGCTGTTGTTCTTCCGTATTGGTTGCTAAAAAATGCTCTTGCCTCGAGCACACGGCATGAGCGCAAAAAGGAAACACATACAGAAAAGCCCACGTCTTCCCGAATCAGCGAAAAACAAGCGAAACAAGTGGAGCTGGTCGGTAACACGTGACTGCCGGAGCGTTTGCGAAAAGAGGGTCAAGTGTTGGTGTCGAAGCGATGCTGCCATTTCGCCGCCTCGTACCTGTTCCTGACCAAAAGAGACATGGCCTCTGCACTCGAGAGAACCAGGCGGGCGTCGTCGGCGATGGCGACTCCCCTGTACAGAGCGTTCGCCATGGCGAAGATGGCCGTGTGCTGCCCCTTGTTCTCGTCGAGGCAACTAGTAGGGCACAGGTGTTTGTTCCATCACGCCCGCCAAGAGAAGGGAAAAAGCGTGCACCGGTTCAGAGACGGAGTCGCTGGGAGACAACTTATCTAGCCAATCGCACCTTCTGCAGACAAGCCAATACTTTTTTAGTCGAGGCGTGGCATGGACTGGTGGCGAAGGCAGTACAACTGGCTAACCGTTACGATACACCCGCGTTCCGGTACGAGGGTGTGGGATGTTGGTTCCGTGGGGTGCATCAGGGCTCCCTAATCTTGGAAAAAGAAACGCCTTTGTGTCAATAACCGATGGGCGGATTCAATGCAAAAAACGAACATCAGCCGTTCTTGTTCGAAATGGCGGCGCGAGAACCGCGGAGCGGCAACAACCAAAGGCGACACCAACCTCTCGAAAGCGTCCAGACAGTTCTCTAGAACGGAGAGCCTCCTCGCACTTATATCCATTTCCACGGCCCCCTGTCCCACAGGAGCACCGCCACCGGCGCCACCGGCGGCGGGTGCGGCGGACGGCGAGGTAGAAAATATGGCGGGAGGGGGGGCGAAATCTACGGAGCCTCCCTCCTCGTCGCCGCCATCCGTGTCATCTTCTCGGAAAGGAAACGCCTCCACGGTGGAGACAACGGCAGCGAAGCGCGCCGAGTCTCCGGAGAGAACCATCTCCGCGCGAGCCGAGTGCAAGCGGCACAGGGCCTCCAGCTCGTCTTCTAAGGGCACGTGCTCCCCCTACACCCGGAAGTTCACAATGAAAGGTGGCAACGGAACTGATCAGAGGAAGTCCACGGTGGGTGCATGGCTATCGAAAATAAAAAAAATTAACGACAACGGCAACCACCAACAACAAACGTGCATCAACGTAAAAAACTGCACAACGAAAGTCCACGGGGTGGGTGCATGGCTCTCGAACCTACAATGGTTTTCACGGCAACGGCAACCAACGACAACAGCTGACGTGCATCAAGGTACGAAATACACAACGAAAATGCAAACAGGGACAGCGGCATCACGCCGCGCTACCTGGGCCAAGCGTAACGCCTCCGCGAGCTTCTCCAGGACAGCCCGCGGGTCCTTGCCGAGCTGCGAGCAGAGCCGCCCCATCACGAACGGCACTTGCCAGCGCAGCACGCCGTCCTCGTCCTCATCTTCCTCGTCCTCCGTCCCCTTGCCCGCCTCCCGCTTCCTCTTCTCCTCTATCCCCACCCCCGCTCCTCTCACCCTCGCGGAGTCATGAGGGAAGGCAGCGGCGGCCGAGCCGCCGCCGCCGCCGCCGCCGCCGCCCGAGGACGAAGGGGCTTCGAAGAGCTTGCGCCGTTTTCTGGCCGCCGACTTGTCCTGCTGCTCCCCTCCCCCTCCGACGGCAAAGGCTTCGCGCGCGAGCGTCTTGGGCGACCGCGGCCGGGACGACACCGGAGACCCGGTGAGCGGCCGCCGGCAACGCGGGGAAGATGACGCCGTCGAAGGCGGGGAGGGCGAGCGCGCCGAAGACGACGATCCCCCCCCCTCCCCCCCCGTTTCGCGGAGCCGCTGCGCCCGTTGCAGCAGCGTCAGCGACGACTCCAAGAGGCGTCGCCGTCCACCCGCTTCGAGACCGGCCGGAACACGGGCGGCGGGTGCGGTGGCGGCGGTGGGGGCGGCGGTAGGGGCGGGGCCCGTAGCGGTAACAGAAGGCGCACCGCCGGCGGCCGAGGCGGTGGAGGTGGCGGCCGAGGCAGTGGTGGTGGAGGCGAGCTCGGCACCGGGCCACACGTCGCGGGCAAGCATGAACTTCATGAACGCTTCTTCCTGATTGGCGTGGCGCGAAGAACATTAAGGAATGGGTTTGCGCCGGATCGTTTTGTCATGTTGGCGCGTACATCGAGGGCAAAAACGTAAGCGTGCGTGGTCTTCTACGTGTCCTCTTTCGCCGGATTGATGACAAAAACGCACCAACCAAAACAGCCTCCGCACTTCACCCTACTTTAGACGTGGAGATCGACCTATCTAACAGCAACCTTGTAGCAACGGCCGCCTCGCCGAAATAGTTGAAACGGTAGGTTGCTGACACTTCTTGTTGACGTGCTTGTTTGAGCGAGGCCCTCGGAAAAAACATCACCAATAGCATTTCTTCGGGCGTGGTTCCCGCTTACCTCGCAGCACTCGGCGAGGTCTCTAGCCGCCGTCTCGCAGGCATCGACACCACCTCCATCCGCTCCTCCCTCATGCCCTCCTCCGCCCTTACCGCCACCTCTGAACACCTCCCTGCGCGCCTTGGCAAGGGCTTCCTCGGCGAGCGCCTTCCAAGCCGAGAAACCCTTTTCTGCGGCTCCGACGGCGGCGGCGATGGAGGCGTGCCCGAGGCAAGCGGCCCATTCCTGAAAGGAAGGACATTGTGGTACAGCGGTATGTGCGTGTGTTCATGCTGTGCTTGTTTGCGCCGCACACGCCGACAGAGACTGAGAGGGAGTCGCTGTCAAACATATCATGAGCATTCTAGCACGTCACTATAAAACAGCTTGTGGGTGGGCGCATAAGGGCGCTAGCTCTATCCGTCACGCTCTTGCGCGAGTGCCTGACAATATTCCGACAGTGGACAGCACCGGTCGGTGGAAAGAAAATGCCCGCCAGGCTACAGCAGCGGGGTCGGATAGCAGTGATACCCCCACTACCCGTTGGCACGCTATGCCCGAAATGTCCGTAAGCACAACAACGCGATGATTGGACCGTCTGGTTGTCGCTCGCTAACCTCCCTCATCGAGCGCGAATAGCGAAAACAATCCCAAGCTATCATTGCAGCCAGCACTCCAGGACTCATGCTGTGTCCAATCACGTCAGCCGGTGCTTACCGCACACACCTGTCCAAAAATCTGTTTCCAAAACCTTTGAACGCCCCAACGCTAGGCTGCCATATCTCTTTTATTCAGTCCCTATTGTGAAGCTCTATTCCTGCACAGAAGCTCAACGGTGCTACCTTCCTCCCCTCCTTATTTTCTGACCACGCAGAAACCACTTCACACTAATTTACCAGACACATGAGTATCCTCCTTCGTTCCTGCCAACTACCTCAGATACACATGACACCAACAACCGCACCTCGTGCGTGGCGCTGCCGCCTAAAATCCGGGTGGCCATCGTCTCGGCCGCCGCCGACTCCGCCGCCGTTCTCGCCCCGGATGCCGCAAGACGACGCAGGCCCTCGGCAATCGCGGCCAACCTGGTGCCACCCCGCCTCCCACCGCCTTTCCCATCCTTCCTCGCTGCCCTCGCGTCGAGCGAAGTATCTCGAAAGAAGGGGCCGAGGTCGGGGCCGGGGGTGCCTCGCAGCCCCAGCGCATGGAACGGCGGCGGCGACGCCATTCTCTGCGCCTCCTTGTCCGGCCCGCCGCCGCCCTGACGTTCCCGTTTCCGTGCCCCGCTGCCGTCGACGGGGAGAACGGCATCGCCGGTGTCTATGACGAGGCCCGTGTAGGCCGGTGAAAGGCGGCGCTTGCCGAGAAGGTCGACGCCGCTGCCGCCGCCGCTGCGGCCGTCGCCTGCCACCACCGAGGTTGAACGGGGCGCTACCGTAGCGCTCCCGGCCGCGGCGGCCGTCGCAAGGATGCGGGGGACTCCTCCGCGTCCGGTGCTGACGTCCATCGACCCGCTGACAGCGCCGCCGGCCGCGATCGGGGCAGCGGTATCGGCTACGGCTGGTTTGTCGCTGTCGCCGGTGTCTATCACCAAGTTGGAGATGTCATCGCCGCCCAGCCCTGCCTGTTCGGAATTGCGGGTTCCGGCTACTTCGATAGCCATGGTCGCATCGCTGGCGGGGGCCGGTGGCGTCACGTTGCTGGGGCCGTCCCCATCGACACCGCTACCGTTCCCAGTCCCCGCGCCGCTTTCGTTTCTTCCAGGAGAGGGTGAGCCAGCAGGAACGCCACTGCTGCCGCCATCAACGGCTACAACAACATCCGACATCACGGCGTCTGCGTAGGACGAGGGCGTGTCTTCCGGCGCAACGGCAACGGGACACGAACCAGGAGATTCCGCCGCACTCGTGTCTATCGCCTCGACCCCCTCCCCCCCGGCCTTCGTGCCAGGGGCGGATGATGATCGAGGAGGGTTCCCGCGGCCTTCTGCTCGAGAGTCGGCCATCGGCGTCTGAGCTGGCGCCGCTGTTGCCATGAGGGGCATCCCTAACCGATGGCACGACGGAGAAAAGGAATCTAGGTAGAGGGCGGCCAGGCGACAGGAGCACTGACGGGGGTTCAGCGGGCGGAAGGGGGGGAGGGCGGGGTCGTAAACCCAGTTGTACCCTCTCGAACAAAGGTTAGCAGATGGCCCACGTCAAGGCCTCTCGAATGTCGGCCTGGTTGTCCGTGGGAAAGTTCCCACACAAACAACAACCAAACCCTCAAATATTTTACAAAGGTGCTTTCGATCACGTGCTACTTTACAGGCAACCGCCTCATCCAACAGGATAAGCACCATAAAAGTCGCTCCTGATCACACACACCATCGAGCAACACACAGGCCCCCAAAACCTTCCACTGCGGCCGCACCGCACTGAACCGTACCGCACCGCTCCGCACCGCACCGTTCACTGAACTCCAGAACCAGCAAATGGTGCAACACCCACCTGTGCCAAACCTTTCCAAGATGACATCCGGTCCGGACAAAAGCTGAGATCGAGAACGCGCCATCGGATCCCCTGCATAAGCGCAGCCTCCGTATCGGACGCTACAGCGCCGCACGGGGAGGGGGAGGGGTGCACGTACAAGAAACGATCGCAAAAAGCGGCGGCGTGGGGGAGTGTTGCTCCCCATCGCGTCGGAGCTGTGGACAGGATATTGTCGGTGCGGGACCGGGCCATGATCGTATGGGACAAGTCCAACACTTTTCCCCGCCCAGTCGATAACGGAGGCAGGCAAGAAGAGCGGTTACTTCATTCACGAGCGAGACCCAAACCTCCTGTGCGTAGTCTCATTTCGATACTCATACTGTGTTCTGAAACTCAACTCGACAGCTTACGCGTGGGGGTCGACTTGACTGCGCACGATACCAACAGCAGCTGCTGACAGAGGCAGGACCTACGTACCGTCGCCGATCGATTTCGTCGCGCATGACCTGAACCCGGAAGGCACTCCTTTGGCCTCCACCAGGTTCTTGTAGAAACCCAGGTACACGCGCCGGAAAGCCTCCATCTCGGGGTCCACGGGGCCCCCACCCCACCTCTCCGCGCTCTGCGGGTTTCCCCGCCCCGTGCCCGGTCTTCGTCGCTCCTCGTGCGTGTCTCTTTTTTCCCTCTCCGTCCCTGCTGACACCACCGACGCACCGCCTCTATCGCTGTTCACATCCTGTGTCCCGTCTTTAGAAGCCGCCGCCGCCGGAATAGTAGTCCCGGTCGCCGCCGGGGCCGAGCCACCATTTCCTCCGTCGCTGACAAAAGGCATGTTGTCGAAGACCGCGCCTGGTAGAGCTGAACCTGTCCCGCGCAAAAAGGACAAAACGCGCGACCCTGGCCCGCTGCTGCTCCTCGAGCTGCTGCCTTGGACGTCCCGCCCATCTTTCTCGACTGCTCCCATGTCTGCCCCTGCCGTCGCCAGCGGCGACCACGCCAAAAACACGTGGGTTTCCACCGCCTTGGAGAAGCGTGTGTCGGGCGGGGACGAAAACGCGGCGTGGGCCGCGACGGCCTCCAGAAGGCGGAGCGCGTGGGAGCGGCGGAGGTCGGGTAGGCGGCTCTCCCAGCAGACGTACAGCGCGCGCGCTTCTAGGGCCGTGGAAGGGGGGCTTGGCGGGGTCAAGCAGCGGTGGTCCTGCGTGCGCGCATTCCCAAGCAAGGGATGGCAAGTCGTAGGGGACGAGGGCGTGCTGTGGTGTGGGGATTCTTTTAGTTACCATGAACGTTTGGCGCTGATAGAGACAAAAAAAATAGGAACGGCTTGTTTAACTACCACCATGAACGTTTGGGGTTCTTGACACAGACAAAAAAAGGGAATGACGGCAGTTCGAAGATGTAGGAGCACAAAAAATCCAAATGTTCAAGGCAAGCATAACGAAGAAGAGACAACCGGAGGTGTACGGGCGATAGCCATCGTATGTCCGGGCGTCACCCCCTTCCAACTTGCGCATAGGGAGTCGAACGTACGTGACCCGCGCGGAAGAGCCCCATTATTCACAAAAAACATCGCCCACGTATACCACCGAAGGCGTCCGCGTCAGTTGGGCCAATACGGACAGTAGAAGGTACTGAGTGCAGACCGGAACGGTTATCAATGCGTGTGAAGACAACAACACATTTCCACGCCCCCCGGTTCACGCATCCCGGTAGAGGCCACAGCAGTGCTCCTTCTGAAAAGATGCTTGAGAGAGGGAATGGTAAGAAGCAGCTCGAGGGGCAACGCCCTCTCCCGCTTACCTCGCAGGGGACCATGGCGACGTCGTACAGGCAGGCCTGGCACTGGGACAGCGCGCGAATAACTCGCTCCCCGAGGCGCTCGACCCGTTTTGACGGCGGCCTTCGCCCGTTGCCGCTGCTGCCACCGGCACCGCCGCTGGCCGACTCAGCATCGCCCTGCTTCGGCGACCCATTGTAGCTGGTCAGTCTTCCCATCTCCTTGTCCTTCGTGCTGCCGCTACCGCCGCCGCCACTGCCGCCGCCACCATCGCCGTCACCGTCGTCGCCGTCCTCAGTGCCTTCCACGTCGATCACCACTCCGTCATCGTCGTCGTCGTTGTCATCTTCACTACCAGCATCGCGGTATAAACCCACATCGTCATTGTCACTGTTTTGGCCGCCAGGGGACAGCCGTTCTTGGTCTTCTTCCCTCACGGCGGAGGCCACCTTCGGGATGTTGGGGGTTGCGCAGCGTGGGGTGGGGGGAGAGAGGGGGTGAGTTTTTTCGGCTGGGTCGCATTGATGGGCTCGTTAGTTTGATAGTGGATCATGCTTCTCATCCTCAAATGAGTGCACAGCTAGAGGCCCTGGGTTGCAGTAGTACGATTTTCAAGGAGGTGGCGGGTGGATGGTAGTGGGTGGATCGTCTCAAATTTCAAGAAATATCTGTACCTGGCGGCTATTTTTCGTCGTACCTTCGGGGTTTCAATCGTCAAGATACCGTCCCAGAATGGTCTGTGAAGAAGTAAAATACATCGATTTATTTCCGTTCACCTGTTGACTGGAAAGGTAAAGAAGGGCTGTCTTCAGGAATACCCCTTCCCCATCCGCGCAGACCCCGCCGTAGCCGGCCCTGCCCTCCAGAGCGCCCCCCAGGGTCACCGCAGCAGATCCAGGCTTCCCCTTAAGATGGGCGTGTAGCGTTTCCACCAACCCGACCTGCGTCGTGTTAGGGACCAATTGTTTGCCCGCGGGGCGCAGCAGGGAAGAGGAGCGGGGGGGTCACGCCACTCGCAAGTAACGCGTACACACGAGTGCTCGCGGTGGGCAAACACGGCTCAACGTCCATGATTTTGGGTTGCTTCTACCACTGATTGATACAGAACGACACATGGCAGGCTTACTAACTTGTGTAGACGGCTGCAATGTCCTGTTTCAGACACGATCCAAATCTCGATTTGGGACAAGTCCCTCCGGCACGAAACTTGACGACAGCAGTGAGCACGGGCAACAAATGACGGCGCGGCTGAGGTGCACATGTTGCATGCACGGAAGGAGCGATATCGATGCGGCGTTGTTGTGCCACGCGCACGCACCCGTCTTCGCGTATCGAGCGAGGAAGCGGCGTCGCTGAGCCCTACCACCAGGACAGCCATTGAGCACGTCAGCTTCACTCCAAGCCCCCCACCCATGGGGGCCGCCCCCGCTCCCCCCCCCCCCCCCCCCCCCCCCCCCCCCCCCCCCCCCCC